CGTGTTCGTTCAATGTTGTCAACTAATATCCGGATTCATTTTAGGCAATTTTTCCTCAATTGTCCGGAGAAATTTTCATTAAAATTTGAAAATCCGGAATTCCGAAAAAATCCGGAGGACTTTCATCACTGAAAAATGTGAACCCGAAAAGACCACGATGCATGCTATTCAGGATAAGGCTCATAGTACAAATGCCATTTTGTCCGACCATGATTTCTGTTTGCTTCATGCAGTTGAATGGTAGAACATCAGTATATCGAATAATGCCCTCTGAAAACAAATCAATTGTGTTTTTAGTGTAAATAAACCAAGAGGCCTTGGGCGCTGCTACTGTTGTGATGAGGCCACTTCTGTTTTTTTGGCGAACCCCGGTCTTCTCGTGGCCAAAACTATTCACGGCCTCGTAACGAACAAAAAAAAAGTCAGCGAGAGAGAACCCAGACTCGACCCGCGGGCTCGGGCGGCCCGATCTTATCTCTAGTCAGTGTCACCTTTCAGCCCATTGTCGTCCCGGTGCGCCGTTTTATTTCGAATCACCCGCGAAACTATTTGTTGGCGGTGATGTCGGAATCCCGTCTCACGAAGCTTCGGGTGGAGCAACGCGCGTTCAGAGGCATCGGGCGTGGCCACAAGCGAAATCGACACATGCCTCGAAGCGCGCTTCGCAGATTTTCTTCCGGTTTACTCGGCACACGCATCGGTCCTTGGCACAGTCGGGCACATCACTACCCTGAGGTGGATCAAATTTGGTCCGGTATAAGCTCTTTAGTGGAGCTACGCCGGAGCAAATGTGCACGTGTGAACGCTCGACTGGATTTATTTCGGAGCTGCGTCGAACCAAACGTTGCCGTGTGAACGGGGCTATTTTGGTCGTAGTTGGTGTTACACTGTGGCAAATCCCCACCTGTCAAAAAGAAAGAAAGATGTTTGCTCATAATTATCTGTCAAATGTTCACTGAAATTGTATGACTCAAAAGTAATAGTGGTATCTCGTGCTTGCCCATAGAGAAGAAAAAAGTATCACGACATTGGCCAAATTTATATCATAACCATGACCGGAAACACACTACTTTTTTTTTCTTCGACTTATCAAAATGGATGGAAGAATTGTGTTATTTTTCTCACTAACTGACAGCTGATCATCATCAGAAGCAGTCTTCTCTTTTTAATGTCCTCAGCATCTCACTAGGAGTGTGAAAATGAATCTGAAAAATCAGAGATGAAAGTGGACTTTCCTGATAATTCAGGGAAAAAAAATTTATATATATATATATATAAGCAGTTCGGCATTAAATTTGGGGGGTGATAACCGATCCTGCATTATTCAGGGAAACAACCATGAATTTGCATTTTTTTTGTTTGTTTTTTATCCTCACTTGTTCCATCCATCCATCCATCCATCCATTTTCGGATCCACTTATCCTCACAAGGGTCGCGGGCGTGCTGGGGCCTATCCCAGCAG